GTCTTAACTTCTAAAAGAATAATAAGGGAATTAAAATAAGGGAAAAAAGTAAAAAAAAAAATTAATAAAAGCACATCGAGTCATCTGCATCGTAGATGGCCGTCGAGGAACAAAGAGAATCGCGTCAAGACAATCAAGCACTGTAGTGGGTTGGGACATATCGGCGGGGAAGGAGAGGGGAAACACTCGCGCGACACTTTCTTTTCGGTCGGGGCGGTAATGTACGTGTCTATTACAAAGTAACGGGTCGAGCGCGCGATCGGCCTACGCGTCTCTCTATGTGATCTCTAGCCTCTATACCGATTCTACGTGTGTACACACGCTCTATATCAATATCTACATAAATATATATATACATACACAATCTATATATATATATATATACATATATATATATATATATTTACACTTATATACATACGTTTATATGTATACAATCCTCGTACATATCCGATCGACGCGCCGCGAGTCGCCGGCGCGCGTGTCTCGAAGGCGGGATAATCTCGACGGGAAGAAGGAAGCTGCCGCGAGGCGGCAGACGATCGAGGGCGATTAAGATAGAAGAGGGAAACTCTCTCTCGAGGCGATCTCTTCTCCGGCGGTCCGGCGATAGGACCTGTCTCTCTGTCAATCTTCGTGACAATCATTTTCAGCTAGTACTCTTAGTGTGTAAACTAAACACTCGAGGTGTATCTCGTCTTTTTTAATAGGATACATTCGCTCGTCGAATTAGCAGGGTGGGTTTTATGTAGGTGAGGAGAGAAGGGGGAGGGTAAATAAAAGAAAAAAAAAAGAAGAAGGAGCAGAAGAAGAAAAAGAGAGAAACTAGTAAACGAGAGAGAAAACAAGAAGATTTCACGTACCTACGTCGTTTCAATTACACGTACGAGCAGAGAGAGAATCGTGCGAAGCGAGAGACGAGAGTTCTACCTTCTACCCGTCTCTCACTCTCGCGCGCCTCTTCCGCACTCTAAGTACATATTAATCCGCGCACGTAAATTCCCCTCTCTTTCTGTCTTTCGCCCGTTGCCACCAGCCGACCTTCGACCTCCAGTTACCTAAAACCAACATACTCCTGTACTGTCCTCGTCGTCGTCGTCGTCGTCGATTATTGTCCTCTTCCTCGGTCTACCTCTCTGCCCCTTCCGCTCACGCTCACACACCGACAATCATTCAAAGCTCACATCTCGACGAGGCGTCCCGCTTTGCGACGCCGTTCGTCCTAGGATAAACCCGCACGTACCACTTTAGGGATTTCTCTCCTCGCTGTCTCGATTGCACGTGTATATAACGCTTAGACCACCACGTCGTTGTGTTGTATATCGGTATTCCTAAGAGTAACGCGTATGTGTGTATGCGTGTGTGTGTGCGCGCGTGTGTGTATGTGCGTGCGTATGTGCGTGCATGCGTGCGTGCGTGCGTGTATGTCGATAGCTCGTAATAAGTAGACGACGGTCCGGCCTCTACGGTCCGTTCGTTATACTCCTCCTCCTCTTCACGCGTCCGGACGACTACGCGCGTCGAGAGCGAGGACGCATCCTCGGACCCGGTCCGATCGAGAGCCGCGACTCGATTTCACCGGCGGAGCGAGCCGTGCGGGCTCTCGTCGCTGCTGCCTCTTGGAGAGATTGGCATAGTGCTCGCGACGGGCAATCGGCCGGTCGACGACGACGAGTCGAGTCGACCGCGCGCCGTGCGGAAGCAAAAGAAAACGACGGTCGGTCAAGCGTCCAGTCCCGCGGGGAGGACGAGCGGGGAAACGAAGACAACGAGAGAGATAACGCGAGGAAGACAACAGCGAGTAACAGCAACAGCAACAGCAGCAGCAGCAGCAGCAGCAGCGGGCTGCTTGAACGGCGGGGGCGAGCGGCGCGGACAACAGCCGGACGGCAGCGACGGCAAGGGCAAGAGGTGCTACACCACCTTCAAGCTGTGGTGGCCCTCGCACGAGTGGAGCAGCCGCACGTGCAAAACGGAAGCACGCTCCCAGGCGTCGCTGGAGCGCGCCTGCTGGAACGCACAGGAACGCGCGCGCACCACCCTCTGGGGCCTGCAGTCGTTTGCCGCGCACTCGAACCACCGCAGCTACTTCTTGCATCCCGCGTTGAGCAAGAGCTGGCTCGCGGAGGCGATCGCCGCCGACGAGGCACGTTCCTCCATCACCACGTATTTTCATTCGTACCCGTTCGTCCCGGGTGGTGCGGTGCCCCTGCCCCCGCCCCTGCTGAACAGCGTCAACAACGCGGCGGCAGCAGCGATCACCCCGGGGCTGGTAGGACACCTCTTTGGTGCTCAGCAGGCGTGCAATCTCGCCTGCACGTGCTCTTGCAACATCGTTGCTAACTGCAACCCCCATCATCACCAGCACCACCATCAGCAGCAGCAGCAGCACCAGCATCAGCAGCATCAGCAGCAACAGCAGCAGCAGCAGCATCATCACAGGACACTCGGTACCACGGCGGTCCTGCTGCAACCGGTTGATCATATCAAAGACACTATGGTGAGTCCATCTTTGTCCGTTTAATCCATTGCGACGAGCAACATGCCAGCGGAGAGGGATTGTGGTTCCCCGTCTTGGACCTAGACAGAATCCCGGAGCCTCGGGTATATAATCCTCTCGGGGCCGCGGCTCCTCCCGCGGCTCCTCCGAGGACATCTATCGCTCTCGAAGGGCGCGCTCGCGACGCGCGTGTCCCCCCGTAGTCTCCTTCTCTTCGGCGAAGAGAAGCGCGCTCCCTTTCGCGCTTCTCTTCCTGCTTCCTCGCGCGTCGCCCGCGTTAATCCGCTCGACAAGTTAATTTCTTCGCGCTACTTCTCCGAGCGTTATATTCGCGAGCTCAACGATGACGCTCTGCTACACCCGCCGGGAATTCCGAGCATCCGCGCACCGCGTGTCTCCGAAGACAAAGCTCCCACGGGGGGCTCTCCCTCTCTCTCCTCCTACCCTTCCCCCCACCCTCTCTCTCTCTCTCTCGTCGAAGTAACGACGCTCCGGCAGACAGCGTAACGAGGATACTTACCAGCTGGCACGGGGTAATACCTTACTACCCCCTTACTACTCCCGGGCGTGAGTATAGGGGGTGGCGGAGGGGGTAGAACGACGCGGTAGCACGGCGGCGAATCAGGAATGGATTTAGTCTCGCGACGAGCCACGATGAATTACTTCCTACGTTTGCCGTGTAAACAGGGGTAGGGGGATAGTAGCCTAACCGAAAACCCGGAGCCGGTGCGAACTCACCGGCTTCGCTCGCGCTCTCGCCGCCGAGGCGTTCTCCGCCGCCCGTGCCTCCCTCTGCCAGCCTGCCTCTCGGTAAACGTTTCGCGGGGGGAAGATGTGGATGGTGCTTTAAATCCCGGACTGTCTACGGGGGCGGCATCCTCTTTAATCCTTCGATCGACAGGTGTTGAGTGAGAGTAGAGAGGAAGAGGAAGAGCGCGAGAGAGGATGTCCCGCTCCGCGACGTGACATCCCGCGATCGAGAATCCCGAACAAACCTATCTATCTCTATCCACCTAGTAGCTACCTACCTATCTACTTACCTACCTACCTACCTTACCTATCTACCTACTCTTTCCATCCGATCGGATGATCGAGTCACCGTCGCGATTCCACCACCCGACTCGAGAATCTAATTTTCTTACCCGCTTCGCGGCACGAGCCCTCGCGTTTTCTTCCTCGTCGCCGCCGCCGCCACCCGTCCTTTCCATCTCATCCACCTCGGCGGCCGTGCTGCCGCACGCGGGTTGTCGAGCACGTAGCGAAAGAATCGCATTATCGGTCGGTGGCGCGGTGCGACACGCGCCGATATCCCTCCGCCACCGCCCGCCTAATTGGCGCGCGTGTAATCCCGAGCTGCAGTCGTCGGAACGCGAAACTTGCCGTGCGATTGGGAGTCAAGACGGGCGGGATTGCGAAGTTTACCTGCCTGCACCGCCCGACTACCGCGACTATACGTGACTGCGAAACTCCCAGCCTGCAAGATGTGCGAATCTAATTTGGCCGATCGTTCGATCTGTCAGAGCGCGTAATTATGCTCGCGGTTATTTCGGTCGCCTGGCTTGTCTCGCTGGGCTAGAGGAGCTCGGGGAACTTGCGGGGAGGGACGTGAGTGTGTGCCGGAGGATAAATCTGGTTATGGAGAATTCGATGGCGCATTTCCTTTCTCGCTCGGGTCTCTTGGATCGAGATTAATACAGATTACTAAGAATTTTGCGAATTTTATTCAACTGAATCTTACGGCAATTTACTGCCGTTTCAGTGAAAAGTGTTTATCTAAGAATTTATCGAATATTCAATTATCTCTGGATAGTCTAGCTGCGTTTGATCTTTCTTCATTTTTAATTTCAACAAGCGATAATTGTGCTATTTCTTATTCTATCGCAGACGGAATACCGCGGTAAACGAATGTTAAGTAATCTAACGAGGATCAAGACAAATATTAAGTAATATTACGAATATTAAGTAATCTAACAACGAGAATCAAGACAAATGGCCAGATGAGACAAACTTTCTTTCTTCGCAATCTTTATTATCTTTCTTGTATTGACGTTTGACATTTCGATACGTTTAAACGTGCTCGGAATAGATGTGAAAGAGGGCGGGGGGGAGGAAGTTGAAAGTCTGCCACTGCGTCTTGCATCCTGCATTCCGCTCCGGGGTTGGTTCCTGGCTTACGTCAGGACGCTCAATGGTGCCACACGAAAGTACGAGTCGGTCGGAAACGCTGCGAATCGTTAATTAACGATTGCGCGTCGATTGAAAACGACCGTCGATTCACTTGTTGGTACGTACACAGCTCGGAACAATAGCCTTAAGGGGACTGTGGAGGGTCAGGTTGCTGAAAAATCGTGCTTGTTTTTGACAATATTTTGTGACGAACTGAATAAATGTGCAAGAATGAAAATTTCAGGTATAGTTATACAACATATGAAGAGTAGAAAAATTTTATTTATCAACAAATACTCGTATAAATATACGATATATATATATAGCTGAAATATACTTTTCTTTTTTTTTCAAGTTATCGTTTTTGCAGTAATATCTCGGCTCTCGGTGGTCCGATCAGAGCGAATTTTAGCTAGAAATCTTGAGGATTATCATTATCCGGTGAACCGGTGAACTACAAAAAAATCGAATAAAATTAATAAAATGGCAGCTATTATTAGGAAAAAATTCAAATTTTTCAGTTCTTTTGCAATAAAAAAATTAATATCTCGAAATGAAATATTTTGACGGAGTTGTCCATGGTTCACCTGAGAGCCAGATGAACAAATATTATCGCTTTAAAATTTCAAATCGATACGAAGCTCAGTTTCGGAGAAATCACTGCAAAAGGTTGAACAATAAATTTTCGAGAAAAACGCGTTTAAAATTTAAGTGGACGTATATTTATATGAGTATTTGTTTAAAAACAAAATTTTCCTACTCTTCATATGTTATATAAACGTATGTAAAATTTTCATTCCTGCATATTTATTCAGTCACAAAATCATTATCAAAAACAAGCATGATTTTTCAGTGATCTGACCCTCCAGTTCTCTTAACGTTCGGCTCAAGGTTACTAGTATTTTCTAATCATACAAATTCCTTTCCGAGCGTTAAAACAGAAAGCTACCGCCGTGACAAATGTGTACCGCTCTCGCAGGATCGTTCCCCCCCACCTTTAACAATCAATGAATAATAAATCAATATTGCGTATGATTAAAAGATCTCAATAATCTAGTTGCGCAGAGTAAGGTTGCCATTGTGCCGTTGTCCGTTCCGATGACGCGGCGCTGGTAAACACGACCGTCTCTGGAATGTTTGTAAACGCCGTTTGTTTTGTTCCGCCGACCTGTCTTTCATTGACGGGCGACCGCTGTGGTGCTCGGCGCGGTTGACTTTGCAGTTTGTCCCATACTCTCGCGCGGTGCGTACACAGACCGGCGTGGTAGCCTTAGCGCGTTTAGCCCAAAGTCATCACCGGGTTTTCTCGAAGTCGTACGAATTTTTCCTCCTGGACATTTCAACATAAAGCTATTACCGTTACAAGCGGGATCGACGACGGGATCGTTCTCTCTACTCCGAATAATCGATCATTGATCAATCGATATTACGTCCAGTTGCGCAAAATGTTTAAGGCTATTGTGCCGATGGTTGTACCTTTCGGACCGATCCGAGTTATCGTGTCTCGAGTCGACGAGCGACGCGCAAAACGCGGAGAACACATGCATTGATATGCAAATTAATCCTTCCGTCGAGCGATCGAAATATTTCGCCCATTCTTGAGATCGCTCACTCGGGCCCTCGTCGGCTATTTAACACGCGCTTTTCCGATCGAATCGTACTTGCGCGAGTGTGTTAGTGTAATCGGTGGTAATGTCCTGTGCCACGACGCAGCCAGGAGGAGCCAGGATGCTGAATGGGAGCGGCAGGATGCAGGACACGGGACATCGAGATGTGGGCAGCGATATACTTCCAGGCATGTTAAATTATTTATTGCACGGAATGTTGTCGGGACTTTAGCGGGACGTTTGACGAACTTGCCGAGAATAAGGAAATATCGGCGACGCGAAATTTAGAATTTATTCTACGACCGGCATTCATAGACCGTCATCGTTTCATGAATAATCATAACTTCATGAATCTCTGATTATTTGTCAACGTGTACTTATTTCGCACAATAGGGGATATCGATCTACGTGGCTGAATAATGGTTCATGAATACGGGTCTGTAATTAATTATGTTCCTAATATCGAAGATTGCAAATAATTTACGACTACGAATGTGCCGGCATAATCCTCGCAAGTAATGTCACTTTGTCCTCTGACAAAACGCTCCTTGAGAGGCGAGTTTTATTTTGGATCTCTGCTAACACTTTTTTTTTTATCTTCGTTTGGTGTTATTATTGTTGTACCGGATCCAAATCGTTATTAGTGTTTACGCAAATGCCATCTTTGACGTTACAATTTCTTCTTTCTCACTCTCTGAATCGCCAAATCGTATCGTATAAATTTTCAGCACTAATGGAAAAAGGACGGGGGCATGAATAAAAAATAATTTTCGTATTTACCTAATATTAATGCGATAATAATTAACGCGAATTAAACAATTATTACATTATTACATTTCTGTTGAAACGAATAAATGTTAAGCACTGTAAAATATTGAAACCACCGAGTATTGAGTAATTTTCGAATGAGTGCTTTCTCACAAGTTTATAAACAAATAAAACGGCAATAAGCAACTATTTACAATGTCAATGATAATACGTAGCGTTACATTTCTACTGATCCGTCAAGTTCGTCGGTGTTGGCAAGGTTAATGCAGAGAGAATTAGGATTTCGCGATTTCGAGGATTTTTTAAACCGGGATCGTTTCGAATCGGCAACTTTGCGACAAACGAAAATTCGTCGTCCGATGCCTTCCTGGTGAGTTGTATTAAAAAACGGAAAGAAAGAGGTCGTCGCCCGAGTCAGCTGAGGGGGGGGAGGAGGGGATTGCTCGCGTCGGAACCCGG